TTTGAACGAGCTTAATTGATAATCAATTGATTAATTCAATTTAGTGAAAACGAGCAAATAAAGAAGGAAAACACTACAATCTACTGTAGAAACTACTGACGGAATAATTTCGTAAACGAGACTGTAATTAATAAAGAAAGAACACATGATAATCTACAAATAATTAAAGAGTAATGCTACAAGTACATAATAGTGTACATAATGGTTTACATAACACTCACATTGAGTGGGTCCATTTGATTTTTTATTTTTAGTGGGTCCTACTCAATGTGAGTGTTATGTAAACCATTATGTACACTATTATGTACTTGTAGCATTACTCATAATTAAAAAGGACACCAAAAATACATCACATGGAAAATACGGAAAGACCATCCTTTCCCTGCAAAAACCCAATCCCAAAGCTCAGCGCGGCACTAACAGTTAGCAAAACGACAATTGAACCCCCAACACTTTTTGCAAAGAAAGGTCACTCAATATCCCTTATTTCCTCGTCGACCCCGCTAAAAAAGAACCCGTTCCTTCATTTTGGCCCCTTCCCCTCAACACTTTCTTCATTTCCAGCCCTATTTCCGTCGTCTCTTCGTCTTGGGTTGGGAACTTTCGGCCTGAATCTCCGAGCCCGGGCTCGCGATTTTTCAGGTGGGGGCTTTGTTGCCTCTCGATCACGCAATGCTTGCTGGTTCTTTTCATAAAGATGTTGAATGATCATATTGTTATTAGCGATAACACGGCAAATCACTGCTTGTTTGAGACGAAGAATGTTGAAAATCATATCATCATCCTCATCTGAAGAAGAGGAAGATGATGAATCGTCAAAAATGAAATTCATGGGAATGATTGAAAATACGGAAGGATGAAAACCGTGTTAATATGTTTGAATTGGAATGAAGTGTGTGGCCTTAGTGTATGGTAGATACATATTTTTATAGTAGTGTATTTGAGAGACCTGATAATCTTCTAGGGAGTTGTCATTGTCGGGTCAAGGTATTGAAAGACGTGAGAATCTTTGCAGAGAGATGTCATTGTCGGGTCAAGGTATTGAGAGGCGTGAGAATCTTTGCAGAGAGTTGTCGTTGTCATTAGGGGTGAACATCGGTCGGTTCGGTTCGGAAACCAAACCGAACTGAACCGAAAAAACCGAAAACCGAAATTGTATTACAATATGAAGCCGAACCGAATCGAATAATCTTTAATAACCGAACTAAAACCGGTTCGTTTTTAAAATCGAAAACCGAAACAATTAAGTTCACAACACATGTTCCAAAACATATTAATTTTTATCACAAGTTCACAAATCACATCAACCATAAAAATGCAACAAAATTACCAAAGTCTCACAACTCACAAGTCACACCAAAAATAAAAAAACAACACTGAAAGTTTGAAAGACTGAAACTAAGTCTTAATTCTGAAGCAACACCCAATTTATTTTACTAATTAGTAACATAAATTCGGTTTGGTTCGGTTAAAACAAGTTTATTTTTTCAAAAACCGAATCGAACCAAATAAACCGATTTTTTTAAAAAATGAAACCGAACCGAATTAGGAAATAGAAAAACTGAACCGAACAACACTATTCGGTTCGGTTCGGTCGGTTTTTTCGGTTTTATCCGAATAATGCTCACATCTAGTTGTCATTGTTAAGCGTTGAAATTGAGGAATACGAATTGAACACATCTAAAAGTTTTAAATAAACATTGAAATTGAGGAACACGAAACACATTTGAAAATTTTAAATATTAAGATCCATACTAGAAGATAATGACTAACATAGATAATGATGTAACACATAGAATTCAATTGGGATGGAACAAGTAGAGGAGCGTCTCGTCGATACTTTGTGATGTGAGTTTGAAAGGGAAAAATTTCATGAGAAATGCTATAGGTACATAGTATTGTATATATGAGTGTACATAACACTCATATTAAGTGAGACCGATCAAAAATAGAAAATTAAGAGGACCCTACGACATGTGAGTGTCCTCTATGTACATTTATTATGTACTTGTAGCATTTTCCAAATTTCATTATAAGACTTGACTTTTTGTTATTGAGTAAGACATGAATTTTTAATTTTTTCATTTGAGGGTTTCAATTCTAAATTATTCTCAATATATGACATAGTTTTACATTTTACTTTACAATTTAAGACTCCAAATCAATTTGCATTTTGATATAATTATGTAAACCACAATAGCTTTTTTTTTTAAAAAAAATTATTATTTAAATACTTATAATAAAAATATTAAATATATTTAGTATTTTTTATTTTTTATTTTTTATTTTTCATATCTTTAGTAAAACTACCTAATAAGAAAACTATTTCATAATTTACTTCTATGCAAAAATTTACTGAAATTTCTTTTAAAAGTTAAAAAATAAATTTTAACTTCATTTTAATCAAAATATGTGATAACATTAAAATATGAACTATTTTTTAAAAAAAAAAACAATTTTACTTTTTTAAATAAACATATAGAAAATATTATTTGATAATAAAATTTTTATTTTTAAAAAATTATGAACAAATGAAATTAATGCCTATGATAAAAGTATTAAATATATTTGTAAAACTAGCTTCCTAAGAAAATTAATCGAAATGAGTTACATTTATGTAAGATAAATTTAGCTTATAAACTAATTTTCTTATCAAAGTAATTTTACTATAAATATTTCTTATTATTTAAATAATATATATATATTTTTTTTTAGAAAAAAGAGTTGTGGTTTACATAATTATATGTAAAAGTGGTTTACTACAAAGTGATTTGGAGTCTTAAAGTGAAAAGTGAAATGTAAAAGTAGGCTTTATATATATATTTTTTTGATCGGTAAATGTAAATTAATAAATTAAAACTGGAGTACAAACGGCATACAAAAGCGCAATGGGCAGCCACAAGCTCGGCTCCTCACTCGCGAATAATAAGTTTAAGGTGTCAACCACAGGTCGGTTGCTCACTCAGGTTCCAAATAAAACAGAAAAACAACCATCAAATTTTCCAAGGAAAGGATAAGCCTAAACTCCAAGGGCTTTCCTCTCATATTCGGCAAGCACGTTTGGGTACAACGCAAAATTGTCCGATAAACATGAGGTTGGATCTTACGGATTACTAGGCTCGGAGGTTGTGATTCATTTTCAAAGTAGGCTTTATATTTAGAATAACATAAAATTGAAACACTCAAGTGAAAAAGTTGAATATTCATGCCTTATTGTGACACAATACCCAAAAGTCAAGCATTACAATAAAATTTCTCCGAGTTTGAAAGGCAAGTTATAACAAATGGCCATTACACCGATGAAGCTTTATGGATCCGAGTGTTGGGCTACCAAAATATGAAAATGATCGAAAAATTGCGTGTAACAGAGATGAAAATGTTGAGATTGATGTGTGGGCATACTAAATTAGATAAGATTAGAAATAGACTTCGAGGCCCCAACATTAAAAACAATAAAAGATAATTTAAAGTATTTAAATATAAATGAAGACTTGTTTTGATCGAGCAGATATATGATCTATATAGACGACCCAAGTTAGTGAGAGTAATTTAAACAATTAAGTTCGACTGAAGACATGTGTTTTGATTGAGCACGATAGTAACATGTGATTCATACAGCCGAACCAAGTTAGCGAGATTTTATCGGTTTGCTGTTCATATTTATTTCGTGAATTGTTCATATTAATTTCGAAATTTCACGAAAGTCTCGTTTATATTTTATAGTTGTGATTCTCTCTTTCAGATAAATGACAGATATGTGATTGATATTTTTTACCAAAACTAAATAAATGTTTATTCATTGTTGGAATTCTTGAAGCTCAGCTATAAAGAAGGAGAAGAAGTCTCTGTTTTCTAATTTCTGTTTTCTTATTGCTAAAGGCGTGCTCATGTTTTTACGCTTTTAGCTTATTTCGTTTTCTTTCTTTATTTCAGCTTTTAATGGAACGACGTCGTTTTGGTCTATTTTGTCATCTTGCATATGAGTGTATAAATACACTCATTTTGTACGTACTCTGTGATTTTCTGATTTGAGCTATGAAAATGGTTTTCCCAACATATCTTATCTTCCTCTAGAAATTTAACATGGTATCAGAGCCACAATCGATTCGAAGGTCCTGGTGTAATTGGATTGCGATTAGCAGCGATGAGGCGAGAAGATGCTTTGAATGTTGCTGGTGGATCTGCATCGAGGGATACAGGAAATGCCGTCGATCAAAGTCCGCTGTTTTTGCACGGATCAGATAATCCGGGGATGATGCTGGTTTCAACTCAGCTGAATGGAAGTAACTTCCTCTCATGGCGGCGCTCGATGATGATCGCACTTGGCGCAAAAACGAAGCTCGGATTTATCGATGGTGAGTTTCCCGAACCAGATTCAAAAGATCCTGATTATAAGGCATGGAAGAAAGTTGATTGGATGATTTTGTCCTGGATTCTCAATTCTTATCTAAGGATATAGCTGAATCTTTCATATATGCTGAAAATTCTAAAGAGTTATGGGATGATATCTGTGAAAGATACGGGGAAAGCAATGGTCCGATCAAGTACAAATTCCAGAGAGAGATTAATAGCTTAACTCAAGGAAATAGCACTGTGATGGAATATTTTAATCGGTTAAAACACTTATGGGATGAGTACGCTCATATTGTGCCTATACAAGCTTGTGGTTGTGATAAGGGAAGAATAGTGGCTCAAAATAATGCAGAAACCAAGTTGATTCAGTTTCTTATGGGTTTGAATGATAGCTATGATGTTCAGAAAAATCAGTTAATGACACTTGATCCTTTGCCTAGTGTCAGTAAAGCATATTCTATGATATTGACTGCTGAGAAGCAGAGATTGGTGTACAGCAGCTATGAGAAAGTGGAATCTGTTGCTATGAATGTCAGATCAGAATCTTATGGAAGAGGTAATGGTTATAATGGGAGAGGAACAAGTGGAAGAGGAGGAGGATGGAATGGAGGTAGAGGCAGAGGGCCAGGAAGACTTAGCAAGGAAGAAAAGGCCAAGTTGCATTGTGACAAGTGTGGGATGAATGGGCACACAATAACAACCTGTTTTAAAATACATGGTGTGCCTGAATGGTATAAAGATTACAAGCAGCAGCAAAACAGACCATTTGCTGCAAACTGCACTGATGTTTATGAAGAAAAGGACAACTGGAAAGAGAAGATTGAAAATAAAAGAGAAACAAGAGAGAATGATCTTTCAATGGTGGTGCAGCAGTTGCAAGAAATAACCAAATATATTAAAGGAAATGAAGTGTGTGAACAAAAGGTAGATTATGCTCAAATGGTCAGTTTTTCAGGAAGTAAAGGGGGTGAGGAGATGCATTTTGCTTTGACAAGCTTTAGTGATATGAGCTCAAAGAATTGGATCATTGATACAGGAGCAAGCAAACATATGTGTGGAGATTTGGGACTGATGAGAAAAACTTTCTTCATGAAAGAACCTATTATAGTCTGTTTGCCAGATGGAAGTCAAAAGAAGGTGGAGATTGGTGGTTTGGTGATTGTTAGCAACAAGTTGACCTTGCAAGGAGTGCTATATGTCCCGGACTTCAAGTATAACTTGATCTCAGTTAGTCAGTTATGTAAAGATGCAAGGGTAAAGTGTTCCTTTTCAGCATCAGCATGCTATTTGGAATGTCATGAAAGTGTTAAGATAATAGGGGAGGGAACAACAGTTGGAAACTTGTATGTACTTAACAATTTATCCAAAGATAATGTGCTGAATGTCAGTTGCTGTTTTTCTGGAGTTCAATGGCACCAACATCTGGGACATGCTAGCATCACCACAATGAAGCATATTTCTTTTTTGAAGGGAGTTTTTACTCAGGAAGATGAGAAAAGGGTTCAAGCTTGTGAGGTATGCTTTAAAGCTAAACAACATAGACTGCCATTTCAGAATAGCATTACTCAAACATCAAGGTGCTTTGAATTGCTACATGTGGATATATGGGGCCCTTGTAGAGAAGAATCACTAACTGGTACACCTTTTTTCCTCACTGTGGTTGATGACTTCAGCAGAGGTGTTTGGGTTTTCTTGATGTCCCATAAATCACAGGCTGTCAAACTGCTAATACAATTTATAATCATGATAAACACACAGTTTGATACTTGTGTAAAGAGAATGAGGTCAGATAATGGTCAAGAATTTATGGCAAGAGAACTACAAAGTTTCTTTCAGAATAAAGGGATACAACATGAGACTACATGTGCTTATACACCACAGCAAAATGGTGTAGTGGAAAGGAAGCATAGACAGTTGTTGGAGATTGGCAGGGCATTGATGTTTCAAGCAAGATTACCTTTAAAGTTCTGGCCATACTCAGTTCTTAGTGCAGCATTCATCATCAACAGGTTGCCTACATCAGTTCTGGATTGGAAGTCACCCTTTGAAAAGATATATGGGAAATCACCAGATTATACTCAACTTAAGCCATTTGGCTGTCTGACTTATGCAGCCAAGGTGCATCCACACAAATCTAAATATGAAGCCCGGGGAAGCAAGTGTATTTACCTGGGAAATGCTCCAGGAAAGAAAGGGTTTCAACTGTATGATTTGGAGGACAAGAGTTTCATTGTAGTCAGGAATGCTGTTTTCTTTGAGGAGATTTTTCCTTATGTCACAGCAGGTCATAATGATGTTGTTCTGCCCACAGCAGGTCATGATGATGTTGTTTTGCCTCACATTGTAGAAGATGAGATAATGATACCTGAGGAAACAAATGCCACTGATCATGATGGAACACCTACTCAATTTCAGCCACCTGCCAATGATGGAATAAGGAGAGGAGTGTGAAAGAAGAATGCACCTGGTTGGCAAAGTGATTACATTTGTGGAACTAGTCAAGCAATAAAGTTGAAAAATGGTATGTATCCAGTATACAGCTTTCCATATATCAATTTGAAGGATGTTAGCTGCAGTCAACAAGCATTTCTGGGCAATATTTCTGTTGAAAAGGAACCTAGCCATTTTAAACAAGCTGTGTTGCACCCTTATTGGGTGGAGGCTATGCAAAGAGAGCTGGATGCTCTTGAAGAAAATCACACATGGATCATCACTGACTTGCCAAAGGATAAGCAAGCAATAGGGTCAAAGTGGGTCTATAAAATCAAAAGAAAGGCCGATGGATCAGTTGAGAGATATAAGGCGAGACTTGTTGCTAAAGGCTACAACCAAGTTGAAGGTGTCAATTATTTTGATGTGTTCTCTCCTGTTGCCAGATTGGTTACTGTCAGGTTTCTCATAGCCATTGATGTGTACAAGGGATGGATTTTACATCAATTGGATGTAAACAATGCTTTCCTACATGGATATCTTTCAGAAGAAATTTATATGGTACCCCCACAAGGGTATAATAAAGCAGCTCCTGGGCAGGTGTGTAGGCTAATAAAGAGCCTTTATGGGCTCAAACAAGCATCTAGGGAGTGGAATAATGAACTTTGCAGGAAGTTGTCTTCATTTGGGCTTATTCAGTCCTCCTATGATCATTGTTTGTTCACATTACACAGAGATGGGTCATTCTTAGCATTGCTTGTCTATGTCGATGATGTCTTAGTGACTGGATCATCAGAAGAATTAATAAATGACCTAAAGAGGTTCTTGGATAATCAGTTTACAATTAAAGATCTTGGGGCTGCCAAGTTCTTTCTTGGAGTTGAGATGGATTATGGTCCTGCTGGAGTTCACTTAAGCCAACGGAAGTACATTCTTGACATCCTTGGGGATATGAATATGCTTGGATGCACTCCAGCTCCTACACCTTTGCCACTTGGACTTAAACTTGACTTGCATTCAGGTAAACCTATGTCACAGCCAGAAATCTATAGACGATTAATTGAAAGGTTGTTGTATCTTGGTTTGACTAGGCCGGATGTGACCTATGCGGTTCAACAACTTAGTCAATTCATTAATGATCCTCATGACGATCACTGGAGTGCTGCCTTACATTTGCTGAGGTATTTAAAATCAAGTCCTGCATTAGGTTTATTCTATCCAAAGCAAACAGGCTCTATATCTCTCAAAGCTTATTGTGATGCGGATTGGGCCACGTGTAAGGACACAAGACGGTCAGTAACTGGTTTTTGCATTTGTCTTGGGGATTCATTGATTTCTTGGAAGAGCAAAAAGCAAAATACCGTGTCAAAATCCTCAGCTGAAGCCGAGTACCGTGCCATGGGATCCACAGTGACTGAGCTCATTTGGATTGGTTTTCTTGCTCAGGAGTTTAATGTGCCACTGATTTTCCCTATTCCTCTTTGGTGCGACAACCACGCAGCAATGCACATCACCTCTAACCCAGTTTTTCACGAGCGCACTAAGCATTTGGAGATTGATTGCCATATTGTTCGAGATAAGTTCAAGCAAGGCTTCATTGCACCGCAATATGTGCCTTCCCTCTTACAGCTTGCAGATTTATTCACTAAGATCATCACTGGAGCACGATTTACATCATTGGTGAGCAAGTTGGGCATGTCTTCTCTACATTACGGCCCAACTTGAGGGGAGGGTGTT